TGACTGTGGCACGTAGTGTAAAAGTGCTCTGAGTGGTCGGAAGACTAGAAAGGCACTATATAAGTACAGGTCCATTTACCAAGAACATTTTACAATGAAATACAATAAAAATAAGTGAATAAAATAAAGGAAATATTGTCTAAAAATATTTTTTAATTAAAAGCCAACCTGAGGAGGTAAATGGTAAATGGACCTGTACTTGGTTGATTTTGAGTTTTAGTAATAGATAACCAGGAAGTCCCTTGATATAAAAACTATTTTCCTGTGGATATAACATAACAGCACACCCCTGATGCAGTGATGATGAAACAGCTTAGTCAGGGTTAGGATTAGCACTTTAAAGAACACTTTACCATGTTTTGTCCAGTAGAAGATCACCACAGCTCCTGACCTGGCCTAAGCTGTCTAAGAAGACAAGGAAACACTCTCCAAAATCTTGAGGCCTGAGGGTAGGGACTGAGCCTCCTGAGCCTCTTAGTGCTGCTCACCTGTGCACACAGCTGCTCCTGATCACCAACCAACCCGGCTCATATACTGCTCCTCACCATTCACTCGTTGCAAGATTGTTCTTTGTACTCATGCAAGACCTTCAAGCGTTTTTCGGACAGAGCTCCCAGTTTCGACCCTGCCTGCTTCTGACCATCCTGCCTCGTCTCTGCCCCGGATATCACCTCAGCCTTCTGTCCACGACCACAAGTTTGGTTTCTCCGTTCCTGGTTTCCGTCTGGCTCTCTCCTGAGCTGTTTGGTGTTTCCCAACAACGACTACACAGCGTGAGTTCAACCATCTCCTCTCTTCTGAGTTTGCGTGGTTCAGAGACTGATCACATTGCCACACACACCGTCATGTGCACACACTCACCTGCTGGCTCTTCGACTCCTCGTCTGGCTACGACTCTCCCTTCGAACGTCCCCTGCTGGTTTGTTTGATTGTTAATTGGCTCTTCTTGTTGCCTAAGCGTGCTGCATTTGGGTCCTAAACCGACCTGTCTTGCAGCACCCGGTGTAAATGTCCTTTAGGCAAGGCAGAGCACTACCCTATAAGGGCAGCTGTGGTGCAGAGGCAGAGCGGGTCATTCCCTAATCGGAAGGTTGTGTTTGATCCCCGGCTCCTCCCGCC